CAAAAGAGTCAAGAATATACAATTCAGAGAGGACAGTTTCTTCAAAAACTGGGGTTGGAAACTGGACAGCCACATGCAAAAGAGAGACATTGTACCTGTATTTTACATCATATACAAGAATAAACCCAAAATGGATAAAAAATTTGAATGTAAGACCTATATGTAAAACTCCTAGAAGAAAACAGGGGCAAAGTTCCTTGACACTGGTTTTGGTGATAATTTTTTGGATTTGATACCAAAAGCAAAAGCAACAAAAGCAAAAATAAACAAGTGGGGCTGTATCAAAATAAAAAGCTTTTGTACGGCAAAGGAAACCGTCAATATACTGAATGGGAGAAAATATTTGCAAACCACATATTTGACAAGGGGTTGATATTCAAAATATATCAAGAATTCATACAACTCAATGGCAAAGAAAACAATCTGACTGAACATATTTCCAAAGAAGACATGCAAGTGGAAAACATGCACATGAAAGATGCTGACATCACTAATCATGAGTGAAATGCAAATCAAAACCACAGTGAGATATCAATCACCTCAGAGTGTTAGAATGGCTATTAATAAAAAGACAAGAAGTAAGCATTGTCAAGGGTGTGGAGAAAAGGGAACATTTATGCACTGTTTGTGGTACGTCAGTAGATGCAGTCACTATGGAAAACAGTATGGAGGTTGCTAGAGGTGGGGAGTGGGTGGCAGGTGGTGTTGGCAAAATGGGTCAAGGTGGAAAACCAAAAGGTACACACCTCCTGTTTTAAAATAAGCATGATGATTATGGTTTATCATATTTTAAAAGTTGCTAAGGGAGTATATCTTCAAAGTTCTCATCACAAGAAAAAATTTTGTTAATATGCGTGGTGATTAACTAGATTTGTTGTGGTGATCATTTTGCAACATATACAGATACTGAATCATTATGTTGTAAACCAGAAAGTAATAGATTGTTAGGTCAATAAAAATGAAAGTTATTTTACTGCCTAGTATGATTCTCTAACATTACTGAATAAAAATAAAGTTTATTTGTAAATAGTGATGAGGCTAGAATGTTCCTGAAGCACATTCACAACAAATACAGATAATACACTCATTCATGAACCTGGGATGGTCTCCAGATCTCAATCTCTTCCTCTGTGAAATAGCTGTATCTATTAATTGCAAAAGCATCCCCTGGCTCAAAAGTCTAGGCCTCCATAGTTTTGGTTGAGTTAAAAGTCCAGTTTTGAAATAGTGGTTCTTATCTGAGTATTAAATACATATATTGAAATAATTGGTGCTTATAAATAACAGATCTCTATAATTATGTTGTCATTTTCTATCAAGGTCAGACTATGTCCAAAGCTAAATGTTTGCTTCTTTACAGTTTATAATTTTATTTGCTTAGCCTCAAAAATATTTGAAGCAATATTCGAATGCAAAATACATGATATCTAATTTCCCTGAAGTACTACAACACTTAGGTATATCTGCTTTACGGTTTTGTTCTATGTATAGTTACACATATGCATGTATTCTACCATGGTATTCTTCATATACCACTATCAAATGTCAACAGATCAACTATATATTTCCCATAAGTTTCACCTGTGCTAATTTATTAGTGTGTTCACTTACTGTTTATAAAAAATTGTTATATGCTCCATCAAAAAATATATGATGCAACTTACAAAAAATTATAATAAGACTAAAATAAAGGCAGAGAAAAAGCTAAGAATCCCCAACAATGGGGTAGAAATGTGAGAGATGGGAAAATAGGGCAAGGGAGATGACTTCTTTTTTCCAGGAAACTAGGAAAAGCTAGTTATAAAAACTATATATTTAAGTTAGCATTAAGATTTTTCGCAGTTTTAAAAATATGAAAATACGACTTCTTCCTAATATTTCTTACCAAAGATGGAACATACTCATTGCCAATATACAGATAAAACTTAAATATAGAAAGTTTTTCTAAGAATAAAATGTATGCATTTAAACCCTTTTGAGATAGTAGTGAGTGCTTTTCTTTTGGTGACTAACCTCACTCTTATTCTTCTGGAAAAGCATGTACTGAAATAGCCCACCTTTATTCCACTCTCATCTTGCTATTTTCTGTTCCTTCCCTTGTTTTATAAAATTCAGGTAGGTTTTAATAATGAAAACACAAGGCTATTATTGTAATAGGAGCAAGGATTAAAAATTACATCCATTATCCATTTGTATTAACAGGTAGCCTTTGATCCCCTGAGCATGATTAATTTTATTGATTTCTTTCTACCCTCTGCCCTGGTTATAATCAAAATGAAAACTCCCGCCTGGTTTTAGACCTGGTTGCTTGTCTTCTCCCACGGTCCCTGTGCAGGCCAGGGCTCGCACTTGCCTTCCCCTTGGCTGTCCTAAGGGCCTCCTTTTCAGCTGGTCCCTTGGCCTCCAGGGCCATCCAGGGCCCTCCACATCAGGCATCCTGTAAATGCAGCTCTATTAATTTTTCTAAAGCAGACCTACGATTATGTCTTTTCTCCACTAAAACTCTTTCCTGGCCACTCACTTTACGATAGTCCTGTGTGCCATTCAAATTTCTGTGATTTTTCTTGCAAACTCGCTCTTGTTACTGTGTCTCTGGGGGTACCCTGCTCTCCAGCCAAACTGCTTATTAGTGACTAAGTCAAGTCTGAGTTTTTCATCTCCTTTACCGTACTATTGCCTCTAATAAGACAGATAAATGAAGACCATAATAATAACCACATATAATTTCTGTGTACAATATGCCACAATTCTTTACAGATATTGTATAGTTTACATTGGCCACTAAATCTAACAAGTCACATGTAAGAATCTAACTTAAGAAGGCATGCTTATACTTATAACCAAAAACCCAGCACTGTCATTTCATATTTAATACATATAAAATTTATTCTTTTGCTGCTGATATAGGATTTCCTTTTAGTTTCCAAGGTACAGGAGGCCAGCTGGCAGGATTAGACTAGGGAAAAAAACATGCCACGTTGAACTCCCGTGCAACAGAGAGGGATGAAACCTAATTTGCTGACCTGTCTTGTTTATTTTGGTTCATTTGTCTCAGTGTAATATAGTACAAATAACTTTAAAGTAGATACCAGGATACCTGGAATTTAGCCCCATTTCTGCCACGCCCAACCATATAACTTTCAGAAAAATCATACAACTTCTCTGTCCTCATTTTTTTCATTTATAAAATGGGAATCTGTCTTGCTATATTCAACAGTATACATGCATAAGGAATTGTTATTATTTTACTTGCCATTCCCTCCAACATAGCCCCTTTTCTATATCTATTTGCTTTCAATTCTCTATGATTCTCAAAGCTTTTAGAGACTCCATAATTCCATTTCAATGCCACTGAGAGTCCTAGAGAAGGAAGCAAACACCAAACGTCACAAATGATGATCAAATGTATTGCTTTTAGACTGGATCATCTTTAAACCCTTCTTAGCTTTAAAGTAGTAAGGGAAAAGGGCTCATGGACATGGACAACAGTGTGGTGATTGCTGGGGATAGGTGGGTATAAGGGGACTAAATGGTAACAGAAAAAAAATGCAATAAAGATTAAATTAAAAAATGGTAAGAGTCTAAATTCCAATTTGTATCTGAAATTCACATATTTCTTATATATAAAGAAAACTTCAGATGTAAACATCATCCCCATCCTCCTACCTGAGAAGTGCTTAGACGTGACAAAATTTCCCTGTCTCATGATTCTAGACCTCATGAAAGTTTAGATGTCTTCTCCCTCTCATGGACATAAAACCTTGCAGGGACATATCCCATATCTTGTACACTACATATCTTTACAGTACAGTTATTCCTTTTGTATCTGAATACAGATTTGGTTTAAATTAATGTGAAATTGAAACAACAAATTAGTGAGACATTTTATGTTAATTATTATATTGTTAGTTGTGATATTAGAGTCTGAAGACAGAAAAATTCCCACCAATATTTTCTTGGGAAGGAGAGGCAAAGATTCTCAAAATATCTACTTTGTGAGATATAAAAGTATATGGTGAAGTGTCTATAGCACGCAGGAAAATATAGCAACTACTTGCTTCAAAAATTAGGCTGGGTCATCCTAATGGAAATAAGCCAGTGAGAAAAAGATAAATATCCAATGATCTCACTTATGTGTGGAATCTAATGAGCAAAAAAAATGACAAACAAAATAGAACTAGAGGGATAGATACATGGAACAGACTGACTGCAGTCAGAGAGGAAGGTGTGGGGGGTTGGATAAAAAAAGGTGAAGATTATTAGCCAAAGAATATATACGCATAGCTCATAGACACAGACAATAGTGTGGTGAAGACTGGGGTGGCAGCCATCTGCAGCAGTGTCAACAATAAAAAAGGAGAATTTAAAATCAAGATGGCAAACATACTAACTCTCCTTCACCTTACTAGCTCCCCTCCCAAAGTAGACATTGATAAATTGATACCAGAAATCAAACTTCTTGATTGTCCTATTTTAAAGGTTCACCTGGCTGAAATCTAATCTAGCTGCCACTGCCGTGTCTTTCAGGAGACTTTGAATGAACTTTCAACATAATTAGAGTTACGATAAAGAAACAAGTTTTCTACAGTGTGGAGATTTGAGAGTTAACCTCGTCTGAGTGATTTTGAAGCTCTAAGTAAATGAAAATAGATGCTTCCACATACACATACATACATACATAAAACACATTCCAGGGACAACCGAGGTAGAGGCAATTTCAGAATCAAGTCCAAAAAATGACGCAATATTCAAGAATTTTTATTCTTCCATATTCAAATGAGACACAAGGAAAGAAAAAAAATTCTAGCCTACTTTTCCTTAACACAAAATACAACACTTGTAGTTTTAACTGAAATTAAACCTCTACTTTAAAATCTGTCATTATTTATAAACAATAAAAATCAGCACTGAGTGATTCAGATAGCAGAATGGTAGAAAGGGTATCTATACAAAGACACTAAAATCCTCTGGAAAAACAATGAAAAGAAGCCAGTACTTACCTGGCATAAACCGCTGATGCACATATCCAAAGAGTCTGTGTTGCAACGAGTCCCATCTAAGACCTTTGGCGCTAGTTCAACAACCAGGGCTGTTCCTTTTGCCTGGCACTTGAGTGAACATGGGTTGTCAGGGTCATTAGACACAGGAAGCCATTCATAAAACTGGCCATGGTGCTTGACATCATTATGAGCTGAGCATTGCTGGGCCCGGAAATCACCTGCTTCTGGTGGACAGTCCTGGAGAAGAAAGAGGGGAAGGACAAGTACAGGTTGAGAAGGACAGGTATGTGATCTTTCAAGGTCTTGGAAAACAAAGCAAATATCCTGGTTATTACAGATGGACTGTCTCATATCATCTGAGAGGTCATATGACTATTTGGTCCTCAGAATGAATATATTTGAGAAAGTAACCACTTTGAAGTATATTTTCTGATTAAAGTTAAATGAGAAAGAATCCAGCTTGAAGTAGACCTGATTGACATTAGTTGGGAGAGTAACCACCTTGAAATATATTTTCTGAAAGATGTCTAATGGTCCATGAGTTTCCCCACATTGTAATATCATTTTTATCTCCTTGTGACTTAAATGGAACTTAGTAAAATCAGAGGATTAGTTGATAGCATAAGCATCTCTGTTGATGAAAGTATTTTAGCCAACAGCAGCAAAAGAGTTGTGATGATTTCATTCAAAAAGTTTTTGTGGGGCTGTTCAAAAGTTTTTTATTTAAACTTAGGCTGCATGGTATCTAGAATTAAACATGGGGAACAAAAAAGAAAACAGCATTTATACGTGAATTTCATTAGCTTAAGGCAGCACGGCGGAGGGGAACGGTATGGATGTCCTTCTCGGATGGGAGTGTGGCCGCACCACAGTGGGGCTCCCTGAGCCCCGGTTTCCTATGTCTAGAGCAGAGGCAATAACAACACCTAGTTCTCAAGGCATTTCATTGTGAGAATTTCCTGACCTTTTGTAGGCCAAATACTGACACAAGAAACATAGTACATGGTAGATACTACTATTTAACGAAGCCACTGAATAGAAAGAGTTGGAGAATAAGGAGATTTTTTGAATTTGAATTTTAAATAGTGTTGGCAGAGACCAGTGGAGAACAAGAATGTTTTAAATATACATTTTATAAAGGGCATTTTGAAACATAAAACTGTAACTAACATGGTTATTATCTAATAAATGATAAACTTCAGTGAAAGCAGATATGATGTAACTTTAAAAAGGTAAATATTGCCTATCCCTTGTACAGGATTTTTCATAGGTCTATTTTTTTTCCACCATGTGTTCAGATTAAGAGGTACTACATAGGATATCCACTTGTGGAAAGGCTTTTATTATAGTTTTTACCTCAAATAAAAAAATTAACATATGGTCTTCAGCAATTATTGGTTACTACATACCACTTTTGAGAGTTCTGATACACAAATTTTCTTTCTCTGAAAAATCCCTTCACATTTAAATAAACATTATGAGAATAGCATTACTCTATTTTATAAAATGGAATTCCTGACACTTTTATTGAACTTTAGTGGTACATAAGTAGCATATAAGGCTCTAATATTTGGGGAAGCATAAATTTTCTTGACAAGATGGGATATAAAAAATTAAATACTTATTTAGAATGAACACAAATAGATCCCAAATACAATATAAACTCTCAAAGGCATTTTATTGTATTTTGTAAGTTCTCAGAGTTAATACATAGTACTAAAAGAAAAGAAAAATTTCTATAACATAGATATTAGCACCCTGCAAGGTTATATGATTTTGAAGATTGTCAGGAAAAGTAAAATTAAAATTCATTACTTATTAATTTCTTAAAGAATAAGCTACATATTAAAATGTTTAAAAGATAAATATGTATTATACTTTGTTGTGATATTTGTTTGTCATAATAAGTAAACCAAAAACCATAGCCTACAAAACCATGCTATAAATCACGAAACAGGTAAATTGTGTGACAGGCAATGCAACTACCTGAACTTAAATGTTTTAACACTAGCTCCTTTCAAACCATGTGTTCCAAGATAAAAGTACAACAAACTGACTTAACATTAAGTCTTTGGATTTATGTTCCAAAAATAAGAATGCAGCTTTCCTAGGTGACAAATCCTACCAGTCTCTGCCTAGACCTCACTTACTAGCTTCTGTCCTAAAATAACCCTGTGACTAACCACAGCCCCCCTACCCTATCCATCTTCTTCCCTAAATTCCCCCGTCTGAAACGCTGCAGAGACTGTTAAGGTGCTGCTCCCCCTTGTTTAGCAAGTTTAGTAAAACCAGCTTCACACAGTCAGCAAGTTTCCCTGGTGGCCATTGCACAGAGAGCTTCCACAGTGAACTGCAAGTTTAATTAATAATGTTTAAATAACAAGTATTCAATTGCGTATTACCTTTCATCCCAAGAGTCACTTCATTGCTCAGTAGCACACAACAAATATTGAAGTGGACTCAATAAAACATAATACTGAACAAATTGTACAGAGTGGTTTCAGACCCCTCTCTTAATTATCTTTACCTTCTTTGTTTATAAATATAAGTGAACTAACTACAGGGAATTCCAGGGTTAGGCTGGATCACCTCTACATTAAAGTAATATGGATGACATATAATTAAGAGATGTCTTAGTATGCATCAGAGATAATTTTCTTCATTTATCCAATTCAAAGAAAACAGTGTCAATTACATTTTTAACTTGATGTTACATCACCTTAGTGCAGACATACTCCCACAGAGTCTCTTATGAGTCCTTTCTGTTCAACAAAATATGATGACTCTTCCTATCTTTACTAAAATTCATGAGACTCAAGGGTAAAATTAGTAAAAAATGAAGTTAAAATACTTGAATTTTTAGGTTTTCTTTTCTGTGACAAAAGCGGGAAACTTATTTAGACACATCACAGAGAACAAGAAGCAGACAGATTGTTTCTGCTCAGGATTCACCTGTATCTATTAGTTATAAGAACACCTGTTATAGGTTTTATGAGTTTCCACAACTGGAGATATATCTCTGAGAATAATTTTTGTGAATACTTAATTACTACTGTCTTTTCTTCCACCCATATTTTTCTAGGGGTGGGAAACTATATTTTGTTAATTTGAGAATCTACTTAAAACCTGGAGTTCAGAGTTAGAAACTGAACTTGAACCTTTTTAATATCTGAGTTTATTTGTACTTGGCAAAATGCAACTTCCTGTTTTAAGAAAAAGGACTTAAGAGGACTTATAAAACAGGTTTAGAAAGCTTCTTGGACATCAAATGGCTCTTACAAAATAATATTTTGATGATTTAAGTGTAAATGAATTAGAAACATATGAATCAAACTTCCCTTAAAATACATGTTTAAAAATTAAGGAAAGAAGGATTTGGCAAAAGTTTCTTTTTGTTGAATCCAAAACATCTCAAGCATAGTTCAAGACACTCACTGAACTCCTGATGCATCTGGGATCACCTGGCTGCAGGGGTAGAAACTCAAGCAAAGTCATTGTAGATTCTTGTCCAATATGCATCATAATCATAATTACAGCAGAAAAACTCCTACTTGTATAGAGAGTCACCATGTACAAAGTTTTTAATTATAATTTGGTCCTTGAAATCATTATGCTTCCTGATCTTCCTAAAAGTCATATTTAGAAACTGATGTCCTAACTGCTTTGAAGAGTATTTTGCATCTTGTCCTGGCCATCATCTTCGAAATGTCAGCTTTTGGAGAGGTGCTTTATGATACCATAGGCCACCCATTCTGACTAAAAGAGGTGGTATCCCCTAGGGTATACCGAATATGGAATGAACCAAACACATCCCCCCCACCACGGCCCACCCTTCACAAGAGCCTGGCAGAAAACATGCTGTGGGAAGGATGCACCAGACTAGAGACATCCAAATTCCAGCCTCTCATACATCCCCAGATACACCACCCAGCAGAAACAGAGTAGGAGAGAGCGAAATAATGTTTATTGAACTGTTTATTTCCAACTTACAGTTATAGCTCTGTAGATTGAACAACTCTGTGTCAGGCTATGAGCTAGGACTTTTTTTCACTCTGAAAAAATATATTTTATTTAAAATAGATGATCCCATGACTTACTGTATTTAGCCATTTAATACAATATAATATTTTTATCTCCAATTTTCAAGAACTTAATCCTACCCGTGTCAGAGTTTCTTTAAAAACACAAAAATAAAATCTGACCTTTTATATGCTCTTATTATAATTCATAAAGTCTGTGGAGTCCTGCCATATATGAATCCAATTCAAAATATTTTCTGGTTAATCAACTAGCCAGTGGGAAAGATAAGATGGATCCCAGATGTCCCCTGATGATGACAGGTGGATCAGATTACACTGTGGGACAAAAGGGGACTCACTGGGTGAAATGTAGAAGATTATATCTCAGCAGCTGAAGTGGTAGCATTTGAAAGGCCTTTAAAATGGTTTTGAAAAAATATACAGAATATAAATTCAGGGTCAGAAGATACATTACTTTTTATTTTGCTTTTTAAAGAAGACATTCTCCTTCCTGAGGGACATCCCTCTGTTTTACCTTTACTCTTAAATATTCAGTGGCTGGCTTTTTCTGCTGATTTTGCTGTTCAATTGAAAGTATTATGAGTGCTTCGGTATAAATGTTATATTCTGATTCTATAGTTTTATTTGTAGAGTAGCTATTAATACCTGATAGTATTAAAAATAACACTGGAAATTATATATTAGGTGACCACATACAGTAACTGAAGAATCTACCCTGCTCACTGCATTTCCCTACACTGCAACTGTTCTAAATTCTTTCTCCTCTTTTCTGCCCTAATCATTCACCGGCCATAAGAGTTACTGTGCATAAAACAAAATTAGAATTATTTAGCAAGGCACCTACTCCATCCACCAGCCATCTGGACTGCCACTTTATGAGGTAAATATATTAGAAATTTATCAGCTTCTTGGTGACTTTAGAAAATTTTACTGGCTCTAAGTTTTACCCTGAAAATATTAGGAACCCCCAATGTACTGATGGCAAAACAGGAAAAGTTTGCCATAAAAGGCCCCTCTATGATACATGGCTGAAGGCATTGGCCTAAAGGTCTCAAATCTCTTAGAACACTTGAATAGATGGAGAGCTGCCTCTTTTGTATACTTTGGTCTTTATTACTTGTCTTTCTACTCCTTTTATTCAAAGTTAAGATGAAACCACTGAACTGTAAATATTCACTGATATAATTTTTGTTCTCA